TGGAGTTCTAGTACATCATCATCATTACACAAAGCAGTTTCTAGATTGTTTGGTTAAATACTAGAATTTGCTTAAACCCAGTCAATCAGTGTTCTTTCTTATTCTTCTTATCCCAAACGGTCCCCAACACTGCTGGAGATCAATCACCGACAGCATGAGCCTCCGGAGGGGGGTTTTGTCTGTGACATAATTTATTATGAGCCCATTGCCCTAACTGGCAAACTGTGATGTGGGTTAATTGTCGGAGCAATTACGACCCCTCGTCATTAAAAACGAAATTATTACTATTATTTTATTTTTATTTTTCTCTTGATTTTGATTGCAGCTGATGAACTGTTTACTTCGAGAAGCTCGTTAAAAACAGGTCCAGCGTGAATCACGCGCACGCGAGAGCACGTCGCAATAAGAGAGAGCGAGATGGGGAAAAAAAAAGCCTCGAGACTTAAAGTTTGCAAGCAGTCGTGCGCGCGCAGCCACACCGAGTGACGGCCAGGTGTGTCCATCTGCGCATCCTTCCACATGATCACAATATTAGCGAGCTCGCGGGCCGCCGTGTCCCTCTCTCTGACCTTGTTTCAACGTGTTCACAACAGCACTATTACCAGTCGGTGTTACACTTTTGATGGGTGCTCCCCTTGTACCTCCAGCTCTGTAGCTGGAGGTGGAAGGGGAGAAAAGGGGGAGAAAATTGGGAGTTGAGGGGGGGGGGGCTACGCTAACACACATTATACACGGCCAGTACCGACCGAGTACCACTCCCTGTGAATATCTCCTCCATCATCATGGCCATTATCTACCTCTGCAACGTCCTCCAGACATGACTTTAAAAAACGGGGGACTCACAAAAAGAGCAAAGCTGTCCATGTAACCTCTACTCTGCCTGAATAAAAACACACACACACACACACACACACAGAGAAAGAGAAACGATAGTACGGAGCAGCCGTCACTTACCGTAACCTAGGTCTTCTGAAGCAGGGACTACCTCGTCTAAAAAACAAAATTTTAAAAAGATTCGCTGGTGTGAGGACCACTTCTTCTTCCTCTTTTTCTTTTTTTCCCCCCAAATCGCTAGGTAAGACAAGTCAGCCTCATCCGAGTGGCGAACCGATGCAGATCAAGTGGAGGAAATGAGCACGAATATCGCCGATGTTTCTCCACTCGAAGGAACTCCTTAAAAAAAATACGGCGAGAAGACAGAAAATAAGAGGGGAGAACGAGGCAAACAACTCTCTTCTCGCAAGAAGAGACTGCACTCTTTTCCGAGAGACTAGCTGGCTTTGCTCTGGCTGTTTTTCTTATCCCATTCACTCTCCCGACGGCAGCACGGCAGCAAACCTCGAGAATTGGCGTTTCAACAGCCCGCACACACGTCGTCTGTGTCCGTCCCTTTGGCGTTAACAACGCGCACAGCCCGAACAACAACTAGCAGCACAAAACACAACACCACACCACACCACACGACTGACTGACTGCAGCGCTGACAGACTGGGTGGGCTGCCCCCCCCCCCCCCCCCTTCTCCGTCCTCTCCCCTCCCTCCGCGCAAATTGAAGAAATCCTCAGCAACAAAAAAAAGTCTCCCCGCGTTCGTTTAAATCGTAAGTGACAAATATGGTTTACATAACGACCACAAGAACATCCTCATCCTACTTTCCGTGCCGAAGCATGTGATAGCAACATGCCTTTTAAAGAGGTATCCACGCGGCTGTCTCGCTGGATCCGCCCCTTAACTTTCTTGGAAAGGATGCGCTGTGGGGTTAATTGGACGCGATGATGGGCGTCACAGTGTGCATGAAAGCACCTGCACACAAGCCACTGTGCTACAGAGTGGGGTTTAGGGCAGAAAACAGAAGCAAAAACGAAAAAAACAAAGGAAAAAACTTCCTGTTGCTTGCATTGGCTCCACGTGAACGGTTGCAAACATTCGGTCTAAGTGAAACTCCTGATGAACCTCAGCATGTTTACTGTGAGCCACGGCGTTCAAACCGCGGACAGGTGAAGTGTTGATGCACTGTTCTTCTTGTTATGTGGTCTTGCACTAACATGCTCCTCCCACATAAACATTATTGGAGGGCAGACCCAAGCACACAGCCCTCATGGCAATGGGGACTCCCCACTTGCAGCCAGCAGTCTTCCCCACTCAGCAGGAGAGTGTGCCACACACACACACACACACAACAGAAAACAAGAACTGTTTAGGAGTAGTTTATAGAACAGAGCGCAAGGCAGTGACCTTGTCTCTGAACTCCCAGGATCCCAGTCTAATTGTGAACATGCACTTAAACAAGCCTTATCCAGGCCCACACGCACCCCACAGAACCCAGATGATCTGCTGCCAATTCCCTGGTGGCACGGGCACCGCAGGACAACTCCAGAGGGTGCCCATGAGGAGATGGTTAAACGAGTGAAGGCAGGTGGAGTACTTGCTGTACATTTGACAAGAAGAGCATTGATTCCTTAACAATTAAAAAAAGGCAAATAACTTCAAATTATTGTTGCATACTGACTGAACTACATGATAATAATCCAGTAGTAACCATTTATTTAAAAAATATGTTTTGCAACAATTACCCAATCTCCCATTCTACTCCAGGACCCTGAAGAAAGCCTGCAATCTGAGACCAAATTGCTCTGTTAGTATAAAATGATACTGTGGAGGTCTTTGAGTTATGATGGGGCCTGGTCATTCAAGACTTTTTATGGAAATTACATTTTGGATTTAACAGGGATCCAATGAAAAGAAGCTAATTTAATTCCATTAACGGAAAAGGGGCATATGCAGCATAAAAAATAAATTTATTAATAAATAACAGAAGAGGCTGTTTGATTATTCCCCTGTAATTTTGCCTTTGGCCTGCCGAGGCACTGTGTACAAATCTTGCTTTGTTAAAAACTATATATATAAGCATTTCACTACATATCGTACTGTGTATGACTGTGTACGTGACAAATAAAATTTGAATTTGAATTTGAATATATCACCTATGTAAGCAAGTGAAAACGCAAAATGGAAGACTCCATGCTTTACCTCTTCGTTTTAATGTTTGTCTCTTCTATAAAGCTATTCCAAAACCTTAATTAACTTCACAGATAAGTGGGGCGGGAGGGCAGTGTTTTTTGGCAGCTAAGAGTTCACCATAAGTGTCAAACACATCTTTTATTTTCACTAACTGGTAAACAGATGCGATTCCTCCAATGAGCAATTGCATTTTGCACAGCACCTTAAAAAATGATTGGCAAGTAATGCATTTTGACTGCCACAGCCACTGCATATTAAGATTTGAATAAAATTTTATGGTGCAAATCAAACAGAGTCCAATATAGTATGTTTTGTTTTTTTGATTCATTTCTAATTTGTTTTAAATGTACTTACCTAAGCAAATGTACTGTTAGTGGAAATTATGATTATTAACATGTTAACTGCTCCCACTGTATGCTCTCATTATATGTCAGTGTGTGTGTGTGTGTGTGTGTGTGTGTGTGTGTGTGTGTGTGTGTGTGTGTGTGTGTGTGTGTGTGTGTGTGT